CACAGGATCCAACGGTGGGGAAGATTGCAATGACATTGGTACCATCCCTAAGAAGGAACCCAATTTTCCCCCAAGGAAGTCAGATGAATGGTCATCTTTAACCCCTACCCCAAGCCATGAATCGTGCTAAGAACTTTATTATTTGGAATATCAGAGGGGTAACAATGAAGATTTTAGAAGGAATTTCCATGAACTCATAGCTAATCACCATCCATGCATGGTAGCTTTACTTGAGACTAGGATGACTAACCATGGCAACATTATTCATGAATTTGGCTTCTCTAACATGATTGAAGTCCCGTCTGAGGGTCAATTGGGGGCATGGCAATTCTATGGGATACAAGTCTTGTGTCTGTTAACAATTTCGTCAAAAGAAACAATGAGATCCACGCTCTAATACAGGTACCTCCTATCCGACATAATTGGTTATTTTCCACTATATATGCTAGGTCACTCGTCTCTAATAGAAATATCATGTGGGATAATATATCTAATATTTTTGACAATTACAAAAATGCATGGCTTCTAAGGGGGACTTAAATGATGTGTTAGTTGCAAATGATAAATGGGGAGGGACCCCTATAAACAGGAGAAGAGCTACAAACATTTGGTCACAAATTAATTATTGTGAACTAATGGATTTAGGTTTTAAAGGTTGTAAATTTACGTGGTTAAACCACCGTAAAAATATTAGTGATCGTATAATGGAAAGATTGGACAAAATCTTTGCCAATGAAAAATGGGTGAAGCTATTTCCCAAGGCATCCACCATTCATCTGCCTAAGACACACTCTGACCACAACCCTATTCTAATAAATTTAATCCCCAAAGTAGGTAACTCTCTCCACAAACCTTTCAGATTAGAAAGCTATTGGAGTGGGCATCCAGAGTTCAGGAACATAGTGGAAGAATGCTGGCACAACAATAGTTTTATTGATGCCTCTAATATTTTCAAACATCATATAACTGACTGGAATAAAAATACATTTGGCGATCTTTTTAAAAAGGAAAAAGAAAATTTTGGCCAAACTTAATGGGATTCAGAATTCTACCTCTTATAGCTATAGAAAATTCCTAAGTCAATTAGAAACCACCCTTAAAGCTGACTATAATAGTATCCTTAGGATGGAGGAAGATTATTGGAAAATGAGGTACATAATAAATTGGCTTAATGAAGGGGACTCTAATACAAAATCACCCTTAAAGCTGACTATAATAGTATCCTTAGGATGGAGGAAGATTATTGGAAAATGAGGTCCAGAATAAATTGGCTTAATGAAGGGGACTCTAATACAAAATTCTTCCATATTAGTGCTACTAACAATAGAAGAAGAAACAAAATTGTTTACTTCAAGGACCCTGATGATCCTTAACAAATTCTGGATCAGACTCATTCTTACTTCCAAGAAATCTTCTCTACTAGTCATAACTATTCAGATTAGTCCTCCATTAAAAATGACACACCTAAACATCATCAAATAGATTTATCACCCCTTGACACTAATATATCCCCAGTAGAAATCCAAAATGCTATTTTTTCATTCAAACCTTACAAATCCCCGTGGCCGGATGGTTTATACCCTTTCTTTTTTCAAAAGTACTGGCAATCTCTTAAATCTTCAGTAATACACCTTTGTTACCAATCCTTCGAATCTGGGAACCTTCCTGAGGGCATAAATGACACATATCTATGTCTTATCCCAAAAATCTCCAATGCTAATAATCTGAAAAAATTTAAACCTATTGGTCTTTGTAACACCATTTATAAAACTATTACCAAAATTATTGCAAATAGACTAAAGCCTTTCCTAAGTAGGATAATTAGTCTTCACCAAGCAAGTTTCATTAAGGGAAGACGTACTTGTGACAATGCCATCATAATCCAGGAGCTTATGTTAAAAATGCACAAACAGTTAGGTACCAAAGCAAACATGGTCCTTAAGATAGATCTCGAAAAAGCTTTTAACCGATTAGAATGGTCTTTTATCTATAGGACTCTCCGTTATTTTAAATTTCCTCCTAAAATATCTAGTCTCATTGAGTTTCATAACTACTAGTAGAATATCTGTCTTGCTGAATGGTAGTAGAAGCAAATTCTTTACTCCCAGTAAAGGCATTAGACAAGGTGACCCTCTATCACCTTATATTTTTTACCCTATGTATGGAAATGTTATCCATCAAAATCAATCACTACGTAGACATAGGCTACTGGACTCCTATATCAATGGGGAGTAATAAATATCAATTATCTCATCTCTTCTATGCAGATGATTTAACATTAATATGTAGAATTGATAAAAATCTCCAACAACCATGTTTCGATGCCTTAATTTTTTTTGCAAATTATCTGGCCAAAAAATCAATCTCAATAAATCAAAAATGAGAGTGTCCAGAAATTGCCCAAAACATACTTCCAAAGAGTTGGTTAAGCTTTTCAATATCAACACTAGTAAAAGCTTTGGAAAATATCTAGGGTATCCTATCACTAATAACAAACCTAAACCTTCTGATTATCAATTCATTATAGACAACATGACCAGGAAATTGGCCTCCTGGAAATCAAACTTCCTAAGTATGGCAGGAAGGGTGACTCTAGCCAGTTCCACATTAAATAGTATGCCTAACCATAATATGCATTACAACTACCTCCCCATAAAAATCCTCAATTATATTGACAAGCTACAAAGAAACTTCATCTGGGGATCGACTTTAACAACTAAGAAAATTCATCTAGTAGCCTGGGATACAATAACTAGAGATAAGTGCCAAGGAGGGCTGGGTATTCGAGCTGCTAGGCATAAACACTTGGTCAATTTGACTAGTCTCACTTGGAGACTAATTCATAATGCTGACAAGCCTTGGTCTAAGTTACTAACTTCAATATATGGCTCCAGAAATAACTTTCACAACACTTCTTACATATGGAAAAGTATTATTAAAGGCTGGGACATTTGTAGCAAAGGACAAAAATGGATTCCAGGATCAAATTCAAATCTAAATATTTGGGAAGCTAATTGGATCCCCAAGATTCCGAAACTTAGAGAGGTTATTGAGGGTCCTCTGACCAAAAATAACTCTACCTTTGCAATAAAAGATATTTGGATAGATGGTAAGTGGACTTTAGGGAAAATTCCATTCAATCTCCCCACTGACATTACGAACTGCATTCTGTCTCTTCAACCTAAGGTATGCCACATTGACAAGATGACTTGGGACCTAACGGGGGATGGTAAGTTCTCTACCAAAAGTTACTACAAACTAATTATTCCTAGTTCTCAAATGCCAATGGATTTTAGTTGGATTTGGGAGCTAAAATGCCCCAACAAAATGAAATTTCTTTTATGGAAATGCCGACATAACAAGCTACCCACTAGATCTTACCTTTTCAATATTGACAAAAACATAGATCCCATATGCCCAGTATGTAAGAATGATAAGGGATCTATAGAGCATATTTTCTTTAACTGCAATGCAGTCAGGAACATCTGGAATAGGTATGGCTTCAAAAACAGTCCAAGGCCTAGCAAGTCCCATTGGTTGGAAATCCTAAATAATACAGACATCATCTCTCCCTCAATCCACCTCTCATGGAAAGATGACTATCCTTTCCTCCTATGGAGCATTTGGCTCAATCGAAATAACAACAATCATCTTAACACCAACTATTATCTCAATCCAACTACTACAATATCCCTAGCAACAGAGTACCATCCAGTAACTGAAAAGGAAAAAATAATTGTTCCTTCCCATACAATCAGGATAGCATGGCATAAACCCCTCCCAAACAGCTACAAACTAAATATTGATGGGGCCTTCAATGACAGAAAAAAAGTAGGAGGGTTAGGAGGTCTAATTAGGGACCACAATGGTCAATGGTTAATAGGCTTCCAACACAGATGCCCAGCTACCTCTTCAATTCAAGCTGAACTTCAAGCTCTCAAGGAGGGTCTCAAAATTGCCCTAATAAAAGATCTCACTCCTTTGATCATGGAAACAGATGCCACAAAGGTAATCAATCTTCTAAAATATGGCTGCGTTACTCATAAATCAATTATTGGCTCATGCAGGTCGTTAATACTCCAGCTGAGGGAGCCGAGGATCATCCATAACTTTAGGGAAGGAAACAAGGTAGCCAACAAGCTGGCGAGGGATGCTCTGAAGGAAGAAAGCGACTATCAACTCTAGGACAAACCACCCTCCTATGTAATAAATAATCTAGCTACTGATAGGGCTTCTTGTGTTTATTTTGTCAAATATGTTGCTGCTTCTGTATGCCCAATTAGCCGAATGGGGCAATGTCATAGTCCTTGAGGCGTGCTGCTATCTAGGCGATGTAACAAATGCTATTCCGTAGTTTTAATATATTATATCTCCTTTTGGTCAAAAAAAAATACTAAGATTTTCTGAACTCAAGCTCTTTAGTTTTGGACGCATTCCTTTTTAATGTCTTTATGGAGACCCTTTCAAATTAAATTAAGTTGATCGGTCCGTGCCGTTACTCATTTTGACGCCCCTGTTTACCTTCCTTTCTTTTTCAAATCCAAAGAAGACTCACTTCATCATTGAAATGGAAATAAAACAATATTCTCTTCAAATAATAGATCCTTGCGGTCTAGCCTTTTTTCAATTTTTACGCATAGCGGGAGCTTAACACACCAAACTGCCATTTTTTTTACTCTATAGGCTATAACTAAATTAAAAGTAATTAAGACAAGAAAAGGAGGTCTCAATCAATAGCGGGTGAGTGGTGGCAGTTGCACACACGATGCTTCTGTCTAATGTATATTTCTCTTTCTACCAATTTTGCGCCACCTTTTATCGCGCCCCGGAAAAGCTTTCCCAGCAATTTAGCTCTCTATTATGATAGTGAGAGAGAGAAAGAGACAATGAAGCATATGATCAAATAAATTAAAAAGTGTAGTTATTAACAGATCCCTTCATCATTAGGGTTTATTTGTTTGGTGGGGTGGGCTTTATATAACCCTTTTTGTTCATCCTTCTTCCATTCTCTCTGCCCCTCTTTTCCATATTTCTTGTTCATTTGTCCATTTCTCAGTTTTATTCTGCCCTCGGGATCTGGTCCTAGCGACAGCAAAAGACAACCAAATTCAACGTCTCCAGTTCCCGAGGATACAAAATTTGAACTTCTTTTTTTTGTTTTTTGTCTTTTCTTGTCTATTCTATTTGTCTTTTCTGCAGTTTTTTCCTACTGCTGTTACACACTTTTCTTCTTCTTGGAGATCGCTAACTCCTTGATTCTGTGCTGGCAAAAAAAGATCGACTCTGCTCACTGCTCAGATCTGTGCATTCGGAAATTAAGGTTTGTTTCATCTAAGAACGTCTTGCTCCCCCTTTCTTGTTATTTTTTCTTTTCTCTAATTATAATTATTAATGCGACGTCAAATTACATATGGTAGATATTTCTAGTGAAATTTATCCCTAAAACATCTCCTTCTCTTTCTCTTATGTGTTGTGTAATTAGCCGTCTGTTTGTTTAAAATTATTCTTAACACATATGGGAGCTGGGACGATGAAGGAGACAGTGAAAATTGAATACACGTACACATGCGTTGTGTGATAAACTCACAGTGACACCTTTAGACTATATATGTCTTGGCGGTATGTGAGTTTGAATGTTTTGTCTTAGTAGTCTTAACTATGGGTTTTTCAAAGCAAAAAATCTTGCTTAGGTATTAAGTGTAAGTAATCACATTATTAATGAGCTCATTGGTTATAACAATATATTTGATCTAGGAAAAATGTTGTCTGGAGATTTGACATACGAACAAATTATTACTGATAATCTTGAAAGGAAAGTAACTCGTTCGTGGTGATTTCTCTTGCTTCCATGCGTCTCCAGTGATATTACAGACTAAATGATATAGTAACATCATCGTAATTATTACCCCAACACTATAAGAAAAGCATATGTCATAATAACTGATTAATTCCAACATTTCTCTTTGGTTATTCTAGTAATGACAAGACCATATATAGTTATAAATGGATTATCGAATTGGATCTTATATTTAATTTCTTCTTATTTTTGACAAAAATTTGATATATCCTACTATTATCCTTCAGGAAGTTCATAAATCCCTTGTTATACCAGTTTGACGATGATTTTATTTTGTTATTCTTTTCCATGACTTCTTAAATTAAATCGACAAAAAAATGTAGTTAAAGAATACGGTAAACAAAAACCTAAAATTATCATTTCACAAAAGTATTGTTATGTCGAGGAAGAGGCAAACCCGAAAATAAAGAAGATAAAGAGCACCAAATTTTAACGTGGAAAATCCTTTAAATCGAAGGTAAAAACCACGGGATCACAAAGATCCAAAAAACTCCACTATAACAATAAGAGAGTTACAAAAGTTCTCCAAATTGGCTACACAACAAGTGCCAAACACGGAGCAACAAGAGCAACAACTAATCAATTGAAGAAAGAGTATAATCCACAAAAACGAAGCTGCTGTTCGAGGCTCGAAATAAGATACTACAAGCCTCCAAATCCGATCTCACCGTTCAAATCGAAGACCAAGATGTTGCGAACACTCAATCAAAATATCAGCCCGATCCAACGGTTAACGAATCGGAAAACGTGATTTGAAGTTGGCTGGTCAGAATAAAAATCTGTAGCAAAACAAATATTTTTCTTCTCTCTTCTCTCTTCTCTCTTCTCTCTTGACAAAAGCTCTCTCAAAAACCACTCTTATGTGCTTAAGTCTTTCAAAGACTTGTATCAATGAGCGTAGAATAATTCTCCAAGGTTGTCCTATTTATAGATCATGAGTGGTGCTTCCTCTTAAAGCCAAAACCCACTCAAAATAAGAATAAACCGAATCCAATTCCAAATAGGAATGGAAACCAAAAGAGAATAGGATTAGGCCGGCCATTGGGCCTTTGGCTGGACAACATGGGCATGTGCCCCACAAGTATAAGCATACATTAGATTATGCTTATCGTAAGGCAAGAGTGGATTAAATTTCAATAAGATCCACGCACTCGTAGTGTGAAATCTGAAGGAGTTTTATATTGCATTTCGATTAAATATATATTGTTCTTGGTTCCATTTTACTTAATATTTTGGTGGTTTTCTCAATTGTTTATTCGTCATTAGCTTGTTTTGCTTTCTTCATGTGGATGTTAATTTGCACTCCAGTGACTATATATGAAGTGTGAAAGGGGGAGGCAAATGAATCTCAAGATAACTATTGCTGGAATTTATTGAATCTGTTCTTCCAATTTTTGCATGCACTATTCAAGCGTCGTCCTTTCTTCATTGAATCTCATGATATACAAGAAAATTAGTTTCCTGTTAAATAGTTTGCCAATATTTTTTATCAAATGTGGAGGATCTTGATTTCTATAGTAATTTCACTTTGATCAGTTTTTGTTAAAAATTGCTTGATCAGAAAGAAAAAAAACAAAGAACAAATTAAGTGCTACAGAACCAACAATCTGAGTTTGAGCAAACTAGTCAAATTGTTTATTACTCCTAGCTAATGCATGTTCTATTCAAATTTCTTATAACCTGAGCCAAAAAAAAAGTCCGGTACACTAAGCTCCCGCTATGCGCGGAGTCCGGGGAAGGGCTGGACCACAAGGGTCTATTGTACGCAGTCTTACCCTGCATTTCTGTAAGAGGCTGTTTACACGGCTTGAACCCGTGACCTCCTGGTCACATGGCAGCAACTTTACCCGTAGTTTGAAAAGAAACAGAAACAGAAGTTTGAAAGATTTATATTCTACGTTTGATCATACAATTGGAATGTAATACTGATAATTTTTTCTTGAATATGCAGGCTATACATTTGAGTGAGATGATGAATTCTTTCTCACAAGTTCCTCCAGGTTTCAGATTTCACCCAACTGATGAAGAACTCGTCGATTATTACCTTAGGAAGAAAATCACCTCAAGAAGGATTGATGTTGATGTTATTAAAGACATCGATCTCTACAAAATTGAGCCATGGGATCTTCAAGGTACAACCATATATATATATATATATGAAACCGTAGATATGTCAAAAAAGTATGAATTACATGTATTTCTAATGACATAAAGGTATGATATCACTCACAAATATAATGAAATTATCAACAGAATTATGCAGAATGGGCACAGAAGAACAAAGTGACTGGTACTTCTTCAGCCACAAAGATAAAAAATATCCAACAGGGACAAGAACAAATAGAGCAACAGCAGCAGGATTCTGGAAAGCAACAGGAAGGGACAAGGCTATTTATTCTAAGCACGACTTGATTGGCATGAGGAAGACCTTAGTCTATTATAAAGGGAGGGCTCCAAATGGACAAAAATCTGACTTTATTATGCATGAATACCGACTTGAGACTGATCCAAATGGTGCTCCTCAGGCAAGTTCCCTTTAAATCAACTCCATATAGTTAAACGGATTAAAGTTATAACAATTTACCTAATTAGTGTAGTTAATCTGTGATAGTAAATTAGTTACTGTTTTTACTAAGTTATCAATTAATATGCTTTACATAGGGATTTACTTGTAATTATTATAAATGACATGATTATGTAAGGGATTGTTTGGCAGGATGCATTAAAGAAAATAATGCATGCATTAGCTTTTGATATTACTAATCTCTTGTTTGATACTCCCTCCGTTCCAATTAACGCGAACTTATTTGACTGGGCACAGAGTTTAAGAAAAAATGAAAACTTTTTGAATTTTTAGTCCTAAACAAGTCAAAAGGGGGTCCAGAGTATGTGTGTGGTTATAAAAACTTCTCATTAAGGGTAAAATTGGAAGTTTAAGCTAAATAGTTTCCAAATTTAGAAAAGGGTCATTCTTTTTTAAAACGGACCAAAAAGGAAATAGGTTCACATAAACTGGAACGGAGGAAGCACATTTTTTCAACCTATCTGTTACTAATGCAAGTATTAGTTATACAACCTATTTGGTATTATCCTATGTATAACTAATACATAACAAACCATGGTATAGCAATACCAAGGCTATTAATGCATGCATTGTTAAAGATAAAATTATCCTTAAAGTCCCTAAAAACTATGTACAGAATATGGAAGGCATTTTTGTAATAACTACATTTCTTATAAATTATGCAATACATTTTAATTTGTATACATCACACCAAACAGTGGATAAGAAGTAATCTCTGCATAACTAGTGCTTGCATTATTAACGCATGCATTACTAATGCACCTTATTTAGCACTATTCTTATACACCCTACCAAACGATCCTAAGTGTTTTTATCGCGTAAGTACATAAAATTTTAAGGACTTAAGTTTTAACAATGTATGGTGTGCTTAGTGTGTGACTCGTTGGTATAGTTTAACATGTGAGTATAGTTTAACCTCTTTATAGCACGTTAGTTGTCATTATAGTCAAATTACTAATCAAATGCTTATCTACTACAATAGGAAGAAGGATGGGTTATATGTAGAGTGTTCAAGAAGAAAATAGCAGCTATTAGGATGGATACTAGTGAACATGGCTCACCAATTTGGTACGATGATCAACTTTCATTCATGCCTGACAATATGGACTCCCCCAAGCCACAGTACCCTCCCTCTAATACCTTCACTAACTATAACCATCACTATCCTAATAATTACCCTAATTGCAAGAAGGAACTCGATAATTTGCACTACCAAATCTCACCTCATCATCAAAATCAGCAATTTCTTCAGCTTCCTCTTTTAGAAATTAATTCTAAACTTCTAGCAGCAGCACCTCCTGGAATAAGTTGCAGCTCAATGCCAATGCCAATATTTGGCATTAATGTTAATCAAGAACATATGCATCCTACGTTTGGAAACAACGTTAATAGAGGTTGTACTAATGACCAAGTTGAGGATCAAGTGACCGATTGGCGAGTTCTCGACAAATTTGTAGCTTCTCAACTTAGTCAAGAAGAGGAGAATAACTATTCAAATGCAGCAAATGCTCGGGGCGACGACTCAAATTTGATGGTCAATAATTTGGACAAGCAAGAACTGGCTCCAGAAAATACCTCCACGGCATCCTCCAGTTCTCAAATTGATTTGTGGAAGTGAGGTGAAATACACCTAAGTGACGGTATATATACTCATTATTAAAGAAAGTACAGTACTTCATTGATTGAAAAATATCTGAAGATTATGTGTACATAATAAATGTATAGAAACTGTACGACATTTCTAATTGTATTAAGTTAAGATGACGATTAACTGATAGTGATGGATGAAGCTATAGGTCTATCATGCAGCTGGCTGTCGCTGTATGGAGTTGTAATTTGCAGCATTGACATTGTGTAAAGCATGGCTATCTTTGTTATGGTGTCATAGCCATTGCTTTGTTTATATAGTATAACCCTGCGGATTATTTCCTTGTTTAAATGTTATTAAGTGATATTATAGTAATAATTATAACATGTACTTTCCTTTTATTTATAGGAATTGTTAGTTTGAGTGCCCTTATGAATTTACTAAAGAACTTGGTTCTTTGCCGTACTCCTTAGACGTGAAGTAAAATAAGCAGTAAAGTAAAAAACATTGATTTTACCTGGAAAATTACCCGGCTCAAAAGGTGCATAAATCAAGATTTATTGCGTAGGAGTTTCAACTTCAACTCCACTAGAACAATGAGCCACAATGTATCGATTATAAGACTGTAACTCAATACTCTCCAGTACTCCTACTACGACTATTTGATTTACAAGTTACTCTAACTTGTAAAGCAAACACTCACTCCAACTCACTAATTGTTTGTGACACTTTGATTACAACTCGATATCCTAAAACACATTCACTATACTGACTCAATAAGAACACAACACTGGTACTCGACTAGAGTGTGTAAAATGTAGTTCTTCAGTTCATGTGTAAAAGGATAGGTTCCGCAGTCTAGATGGATATTTAAATGCCTGGACTCCAAGATCTTCTAGGAGTCTTATGCATAGTCAGCTTTTCATTTGATAGAACTCCTACTGTTCCAAGGACTCCACCAGTCTTGGAACTCTTGTCTCTCACTCATTTATGCGTATCTTCTTGGACAACAACCCTTATCATGTGAAGCAGCCTTCTTCCACCAAATTCGGACATGGGTAACTTTGGGATAAAGTTATTATCTTGCACAGATGTACAATCATCAGCCATGAGGAGCTGGTCCTTCACCCTGAGGAGCTTGTTCTTAGAGTTGTTAAGCAACTACGTTGAGGACCTGGATCTTCGAACATTTTATCAGAACAAACTTTACTAATCATCAAAATCTCAATACTCAACAAATTTCCCCTTTTTGATGATGACAAACTTTGTATATATCATAATCAAGCAATCATACCAAATCATGATCTACAAGTACATCATTCCACAAATAGACAACGCCCAACTCTATCTTCCCCCTTTTGGCATCATCGAAAAATAACAAAAGATGTTAGACATATTAAGCATAGTTAATGCAAGATTTAAGACCATACATGCTACAAAACAAGCTCAAGAATTATCAAAGCAAATAGACTAAGATGATGATCTAACCAAATATGAAGCATCAAAGCATTATAAGAGAAGTCATTTAGCAGTGCCTAAATAAGCCCAGTGCCTTGTCTTAAACTATTAGAACAAAATAAACTAAACCGGTTGTAACATACTCGGACAAGAACAGAAACTAAACCGTCACTGGATAACAAAAGAAACTAAGGACTTTAGGGAAGGAACAAGTTCATGGGTGATAGGTAGAGGGGGTCAATGCTTCACAAAGGTGGAAATCTGTTGGGCATGAGCTTCCCTAACCCTTCTAAGCTCTTCCCTAAGCTGCCTGGTTTCTTTTCTCAACTCATCATTCTCTTCACGAAGCTTGGCATTCTCCTCAACAACCAACTCCAACCTCTTAGTGAGCTATGTTGTCATGCTGCTTCCAGGTAGAATAGAAGAACCTGTTGGTCATCTAGCCTTGATCTCCTCATAGCCATACTGCTTGAGGGTAACAACATCCAAGACATCATTGTGATTTCCATACTTAAGCTCAGGCAATGCAATGTTGAGCTTGTCAAATAGCTTAGTCAACATGAAGGCATAAGGCATAGCACGCTTAGGCTTGGAAGTGTTAGTATCTCTTGCCATATGCTGAATTATCAGGCTAGGGAGATTGATAGGTCTACCAGTGTCAAGCAGTTCCATCACAACCATGTCCAACAGGGTAAACTCATTCCTTCTCTCATACCTCTGTAGAATGCATGAATTGACAAAGTGAAACAACTGCTTATGGAAGGGGGTCATGTCAGTCTTGTACACCTTTTGAGGAACATCCAGTTCAAATTTTTGAGAGAACTTCCTTGTGACCACAATTCCTATGGACATCATTGTTTATGGCTAGCCACTTTTTCTTCAAGTAATTTTCAAAACCTAAAGAAGAAATATTCTGAAGCATCACTATCTCCTCAATGTCAAACTCCTTCTAAAACCCCCTTACCTTACTCTTGACCACCTTTCCATCAAACTAGAAGTTTTCATAGAACTCCACCACAGCAGGCACACACACAGGAGGGAAAGTCTTTACAAATATATATTTTCATCCTTGTAGATCAAGTTTTTCAACCAGTTGAGCCATCCCATTTTCATCAGTGTTTACAAAAATCTTCCTATTAAACATTTTTATGTCCTGAACTCAGTGAGTTTATCAACTACAGTTGTCACACTTTTTCTCTTCCTTCCTCTACTGGCCCTTGCAGATAAGGTAGAAGTTTTGGTAGCTTTGACAACCTTTCTCTTTTATGTTGATGACTTTTCTGGTAGAGTAGAAACAAACTCATCTTCTCCGTCCAACTCAACTACAGGTTCCACAACTGAAACTTGCTTTCTTGGCTTCTTGGCACCTCGGACTCCTTAATGATTTGTTCATAAACAACCTTTATTTTACTCCTTGTGAAAGGAGTCCCGACAGGAGGAGCCACTTCTTTCCTTTCAGGGACGACAGACTTAGTTTCTTTCACAAGATTCTTCCTGGGTTTCTTCCCTATTTTAGACAAGGGCAAGTTATCTTCATTACTACTGACCTCCTCATCTCCAGTAAAAGGAGTTAACAAGGGCCCAGGTTCTTCAGTCCTTTTCTCTTCACTTGCTTCTTCTAAAGGGGCTATGATAGTGTTCCCAATAGTCATAGAGCTTTCAGATTCCCCACTCATATTCTTATTCTTGTCCTCACTTTCTTCATCCTCTCCTTCACTCTCACTTGCCTTTTCTTGATCATCACCTTCACTCTCAGACTCACCCTCTTTTTCGTTATTCTTTTCTTCTTCTGCAGAGTCATCCACTTGTTCATCTATCCTATCTTTTGTCTCACTCTCCTTCTCTTCACCAGAATCTCCCTCATTCTCGCTCTTTTTCTCTTCATTAGCAATGTCCTGAGTAGGATGTCCCTCATGCCTGCCCACTACCCCTTCTTTATTTTCACCTCTATTATCATCTTCATCCTCCGTCCAACTGAAAGAAAGACTATCAGATGCCTCCTTTTATGCTAGTTCTTTATGCCTTCCCCCTCAACCATAGGCATAGCAATAGTGGTATTTACCCCTTTTCCATATATGCTACATTCTTTTCTACAGTGGGTTCCTCAACTCGTGGTTTACCACTTGTGGGTGGGACAAAATCTAAGGGTGCAACATCTATAGCAAATACCAGAACATTTAATTTTGAGGGAGAGAGTTTTACCTGACTTGTAATAATTTGTACTAATTCCCCCTGAACCACAACTTCCTTAACCATTATGTCTACTTTAGCAACAATATCACGCACTACCTTTTCACTCTTGACATATTTTCTTAGAGTAGCCTTGATCAGAAGTGTTTTTAGAAGTAGGCACAAATACATGGGTGGCTGGTTTTGGAAGTGAAGGCCTAGTGGAGGTGAGGATGGTGAAAGCAACAAGAACAGGGGATGATGGTGTAGGTACAATAGAAGATATCGGTGCGGAGCAGGTGTGGGTGTAGGTTCACTTGAAGGTTTGATGATGATTTGACTTCAGTCTTGGATGATGATTTTGCTTTAGAAAGGGGTTTGGCTGGATTTGGGCATGGCGATAAGAGAGGAAAATTGATTAAGGGAAAGAGAGAATTATTTTTTGATTCTTGCTTAAGGTTTGAGAAAAACAGTAATGTTTGAGAAACTTATCACAAGGGTTTTTAAAGGAATTACTCCTAATTTGACTAGAAGGGAGAGAGAGAGAGAGAGAGTGACAAAATTTGAGTTCTAACAGGACTTTAATAATGGCTACTTTGACTATTAGGATTTCAGGAGTAATTAAACTCTATTGCTCTAGGATTCCCCCTTACTCTTTGACTAGATGACACTTGAGAGTGATGTTAACAGGATTAGAAAGTCTGAGCATAGCAGTAATTTAGGATATTAAGTTCCAGTAAATTAAGACAAGATGGCACGTACCTGAGTCAAAGAACCAACTCCTTAGTAACTCCTTACTTATTTATACGATAAAGCTTCACCACTACAGGTTAGTATCATACAATATAGTTATCAACTAGAATTTTTTAGGCAAGTGTGTGTGCTTAATACAAGCACGAGACTGAATCAAACACATCGTACTCGACTATCTACATCTAATTATAGTTTTTCTAGCCAATCATTGGGTTGCAACTAGTTGGAAGTATTGGTTAGACATAGTTATAGTCTATTCCTTTCAAAGTGGCCCCTACTCAGAGCTTTAGTAAAGATATATGTAATTTGGTCTTCAGTTTTATAGAAGTTAATTGAAATGTTCCCTTTTTTTAACATTGTCTCTTAGAAAGTGGTGTTTAATATCAATGTCCTTGGTTCTTTTGTGTTGACATAAATTTTTAGCAATGTTTATAAAACTACTGTTGTCAGAGAAAATAGGAACAAAATCAACAAAAATACCATAGTCCCTTAGCTATTGTCTTATCCCCAAAAACTAAGCAAAGCAAGATGTTGTTGCCACATATTCAGCCTTGGATGTGGATAAAGCCACTGAGTTCTGCTCCTTTATTACCCAAGACATCAGACAAGAACCTAGGAAATGTGTTGTTCCTAAAGTGCTTTTCCTGTCAACATGAAAACATGCATAGTCAGCATCGGCATAACAAACTAGATCAAAATTATACCCTATAGGATACCACAAGCACAGATCAGAAGTTCCTTTAAGATATCTAAGTATCCTCTTGACAGCCTTCACATGAGACTCTTTTGGATTTGCCTAATCTTGAATATAATCCCACACTGAACACAATATCAGGTCTGCTTGTTATAAGATACAACAATGGCACAATCATTCCTCTATATATCTTCTATTCAACATTTTTCCCGTCTTCATCAAGGTCCAGCTTTGTTGCAATGGAAATGGGAGTGTTTATGGACTTAGAGGAGTTCATGTTGAATTTGTTTGGCAGTTCCTTGATATATTTTT